TATAGATTTACGTTCTTTGGTAAAGGTGAGTACGTACATAGATAAAGAAAATGATAAAGGCGAAAGTAAAAATAAAAACAAAAACAAAGATGCGTAAAGGTAAATGCAAAAATTAAGACCAAGGTAAATTTGAACACTTAATTTACATAGTATATAAAGGCAAAGGTGAAGGGTAATATGAAGAAAATGATAAACATAAAAGTAAAAAAAGATAAATATAAAGAAAAAGATGATGATGAGGATACCGATAAAAGAAAAGATGAGGAAAGAGGACGAACGATTAAAATATAGGTAATTATAGTGAAAAGGATATAGATAGAGACACAGACATAATCTAGGAACTATTTCGGGATTTCATAGATTTTCGGGATTCTCGGAACTTATCGATATAATAATCGATATTTTTATCGATTTTTTTATCGAAATTTTTGTCGGTTTTGTTATCGATTTTGTTAGCGATGTCATTAAAACATTATTTTGTTATCGATATTTTTATCGATTTTGTTATGGATATTTTTATCGAGTTTGTTATCGATATTTTTATCGATTTTGGTATCGATATTCTTATCCATTTGGTTATCGATTTTATAACCGATACTTTTGTACATTTTGATATCGATATTTTTATCTATTTTGCTATCGATATTTTTATCGATGTGGATATTTTTACCGGTTTTATTATCGACATTTTTTATCGATATTGTCATCGATTTTGCTATCGATATTTTCAGCGATATTTTAATCGATTTTTTTATCAATATTTTTATCGATTTTGTTATCACGGCTACACTTTTGTCTATATAGAACAATGCTAGGGGTGAAACATTTTTGGACCACTGTGTGCTACTACCTATTCATTCCCAGTAGAAAAATGCAATGTATAGTAATCGAAAAAATTATCAGTAAAACAACCCTTTTCACATTCGAAAATGCATTTTTTTCCCTAGGGCGATGTCCTAAGAAAAGTGGTGCATTCAATTTTGCATTACCTAGTATCGAGAAATGAATGTGTTTTAATATGAAATTTATGGAACTCTTTGGATATATCAGAATGCTGATTACATAGTTATCAGTAATATAATCGAAAACTCATAAGAAATACATTATATTATTTATCACGCATGTAATGCATTACTACTTCTTCGACTGGGTATGATCATCCAACGAACAAACAAAAAAAAACACGAATCAAAGTGAAAGTCAAACTCACCCCTGAATCTGTGTCTCAAAGTGCGGAAATTGTTTGAGAAAAGCTTCGCGTTCACTCCACTTGGGCAGGTAATTGTTCCGCCAATATTCGACCACCTTTTTCAGGTAGTTCGAATTGAATCCATATTGAAAGCCAATGCCTTCTAGTGGCTCATGTAGAACGAGTGGTTGTGACAGCTGTGCTTTGAGATCTTCTAACTATTACCTGTATTAAAATAAATGGCATACTTAAATTATAAATTTATTTTACTGAACATTTGGCTCATTTACTTCAATAGTTTCATAATCTAAAAAATACAACAATTGAGTTAAGTACCCAGAAATTACCGCAACCTCTTCTTTTATGCTGTGTAAAAATTTCATAGATGTACGGTTACCAGTAGCTCACTACAAGAAAATATACATATGTTCAGTTTTACTATGAGAGTATATCCTCGCCCGTATGCCAGAAATGTGAATGTGTAAAAATGAAAATTTAGAGAAATCAGCTTTGAAATTCGAAAATTTAAGCCGTTTTTCTCCAGTTTTGAATTTTTGAGTTATGACACTATGTAAATATTGAGGTATGTATACATATTAACGTTTGTAACTACATATGTGGTATACATATTAATACCTTTGGTTTAACGCTTATATCAAATTTTTTTATGTCGGTATTCTCCTTGTAATTAGCAGCACTGCCGGGACCC